GCTATATTTGCACAGTAGTAAGTATATCCAATAATTATTTTAGCCTCATTAGTTTAGGCTTTTAAGAATGAAATTCTTATCCCCAGAATGCCAAAGAGAAATATTTCCTCCTATAAAAACCAATAATTAAATGATTTTCTCCTCCTTTAAGAGGAGTTATTTAGGGAAACATTTTTTCCCAAGGTGTTATACTTTGTCAACAGTTGTCAATGGAAAAAATGAATTTTCTAATTAGTTAAAAAAGGTATCCTGTAGTTTGAGTGTGAGAAAAATGGATCAGAGTGAAATCCTAATGATCATTTATACATAGTCAATGAAGTTCTCAGCATGCTTTGATTAGATTAACATTTTCCCCCTCCAGTAAAAAAAGTCTACCTATGCTCTTACATATTCATAAAATTTAGAAAAACTTGCTTGGTGTGGATTTGCTGCTGTTTTCTATGTGATCCCTCATTTCATCCTCATAATACATCTGTAATATAGGTTTTGTTATTTTTTATAATATATTATAAAAAATAATATATTTTATATTATTTTACATATAAAAACTAAAGGAGGATTCTTCTTGAAACCTAGGACTACTAATCAGAACTTTTCTAAATATAAAGGGAAACATGCTTCTTATCTCATTTTGCCCTCTCTTTACAAGAACAAATTATACTTAGGGTTTTGAAGAATACCCTATTCCATGGTCTACATTGGACTTTTTCATTAATATTTTGGAAACAAAGCTGTACTTTTCCCTCCCCTAGTGTAGAACTGAAACCTGTAGATTAAAATCTGTAAGTAACATTATCCTGCAGATATTGCCTAGGCTAGACATAAAATTAGAGTCATTATGGAAAACTGAGACATTATTCTTATATTCAACTCAATGAAGTTTTTTAGAAAATGTATTATGTGTACTAGAAGTTGATGCTAGTTGATTAAATAGAAAAGAAGGTTATTATATGAACATTTATGAGAGAACCAGCTCAAAGATGAGTTGAGAAATGATGTCCAATTACAGGCTGCAGAACTGGTCTGAGTTCTGCAGAGTTTAACCAGAGATCCCTTTATTATCACAAATACTAAGGGACACCACTGCTGCCCCTAGCCTATCACTGCCATTTCTGCAACAGGAATATGGCCCATTTTCCCCCTGCCACATGAATTTTATGTGGCACCTCCTTAAAAATACACATTAAGTGCACAATCTAATATTGTTCACTGTAGGCTTGATGTTGTATAGCAGACCTATAGAATGTGTCTTGCATAACTGAAACTTTATAGTGTTTACATTTCTGAGTCTAAAAAAAAACTATTGATTTGATTTCAAGTTCTCAGTACAGAATTATTTCTTTGGGAGTAAATAATGATTGTCACAAATAGTTGATTCTTAGACACTCCTCTTTAGTTCAGTGTTCTCTCTTTAGGATACCCTTAATGCATTTCTTGTGATGGCTTGTGACAGGTGCAGTGACACTTACTTCAAATATTCATTCTTTTATTAAATTTTGTTGACCCTGATACAAAACCACTAAATCACCTATTCACATTTGCTGCTCCACTGAATGAAAACTTTACATGGTATTTCAGATTGATATTGCTTGAGCTAGGTAGCTGGATATAAATACATCCAGCAACACAATTTCTGCTTAACAGACATCAGATAGTCTTCTTTAGAATATTGAACACAGCTCTAAATTACTGAAGGATTCTATCTAGGACAGCAGGAAACCATGCCTCTGACAAAAGTATAGCTATAGCACAAATTCAATAACTGACTTAGTTTGGTTTTTATTGCTATAATGGAATACCACAGACTAGGTGATTTGCAGTGAATAAAGGTTTATTTAACTTGCAGTTTTGGAGGCTGGAAGAGCATGGTGTTGGTATTTGGTGAGAGCCTTCTAGCTGCATCAAAACATGGGTGGACAGCAGTACATGGTGTAAAAGGCAACCTGCTAGCTCAGATTTCTCTTCCTCTTATAAAGTCACTAATGTTATCATGGGGCCCCTCATCTAATCTTCATTACCTCCAAAAGGCCCTACCTCCACTGTTAACATAAGAATTAGAGGATTAAGTTTGCAACACATGAACTTTTGAGGAACATATTCAAACCATAGCAACAATGATCCTATCACCAATCATTTGGTTGTTGCAAACTATTTCTTCCAGATTGGGCACACTTGATGGGCAGCTCACTGTCATGGAGGGGCTGTTATCTTTCACTGGGAAGCATTTACTTTTGAGTCAGTTTGAAATTTAGAGCCCACTGTTTTCAGTGTTATGTGGCTGGGTCATGAAGCTAGCCCCTTTGTTTAACTCATCACTAAATTATAAGGCTGATTTTAGCATCCACTTACTATATAATTGGATGTACTTGCCTCACCTACCCTGGGCTGGTGCAGTAAGAATGGACTCCTTAGACAGAGGGCCCCATAGGTCATCCACTGGGGAAAAGAGAGGATAGTCCTAGAAGTCACAGCTGCAGAAACAGGGTCGGGGTTAGAAATGAGGAGTTAATTAAAATCAGCCTTCGAAGATCATCAGGCTACCTTATTTTCATGTGCATTATTCATATGTTTTAGTAGTTCTCAGTGCAATGTGCTTCGTGATATGTTAGATATTCAATGTAGTTGTTTTCAGGTTTTATTATGCAATATTCTTATTATGATTCATGAAAATATTCCATTAAATTGCTCATATAATTACTGTGCTTAATCTACAACATACTTTAGTTAATGTTGCATAGAATTCTGATTTAACCAATTAGATTTGATCAAGTATAGCTTAACTGCAAATACTTCCTACGATGAACAGGTCTAAAATAATTATTGAGAGCTAAGGTAGCAGTCAACTCTAACTAAAACTAACAAATTTCCTGTTAAGAACAGCACATAATAATTTCAACTATAATTTTATCATTTAGAAAGCTAAATTATAAGGAGTAGCTTGTTCTATTTCTATTAGTAGCCTGTTAAAAAATCTGATTGGGCATGTGAAAACTCAAAAAATATGTTTCATATACCTCAGAATGTGACTCTGGTTGGAAATAGGTTTATTGCAGATGTAATTAGTTAGAATGATGCCATGGTGAAGTAAGGTGGGACCCTGATCCAGCATAACTGCTACCTTTATAAGAAGCTGGCCATATAAAGACTGAGACACAATGCCATTGGAGACCAGGCAGAAATTGGAGTTATGCAATGGCAAGTGAAGAAATACCAAAGATTTCTGACAAAGCACCAGAAGCTAGAAAGAGGCAGAGAAGGATTCCTCTAAACATTTCAGAAGGAGCATGGCTCTGCTGCCATTTTGATGTTGGACTTCTAGTCTGCAAAACTGTGTGACAATAGATTCCTCTTGTTTTAAGCTACCCAATTCGTGGTCCTTTATTTGACAGCCGTAAGAAACTGAACCCTTGATAAATCTGATTAAGTTGAGAATTAAAGCTCAATATAGCCAGAATCCATGAAATTACTTTTATAATAGTGGGGGGAACATATCTTGCTAAACTATTTTTAAAAATGCATGTACTATTTTGAGTTGAAGAAAATTTTATATTCTTAAGTATTGACATAAACATAACACTTCTGATCCTCACACACAACACCTAGAAGAGTGCCTCAAACACAAATCATCCCACAGTACATTTTGTGGCTTAGTTTAAAAGATTAAAAAATGAAAATATCCTATAAATATTAAAATGCCCACTTATAGAACTTGAGCTATAAAATGTATATATACAGTGCTACTGAAATATGAGTGTAATCATTGAAAAGAATTTGCATGAGGTTCATGAAGGTGAAAATTTTATCTCAAATAATAAACTATATTCCATGAAGTTTGTATATTATTCAGATTCTATATTTTGTTACCCTTATTTTGATTTTGAAAAAAATAAAAAAACACTCTTAGCACCTATGCTATGGGATAGGGAAGGACAAATAAAATAAATTTTAGTCCTGGGGGTAGGAAAGATGGTGGAATGAGACAGACATCATTACCCTAGGTACATATATGATTGCATGAATGTTGTGTCCCTACTTTGGGTACAATCAGAGAAATCAAAAGTTGTGCTCCATTTGTTACAATGAATCAAGGGGCATTCTGCTGTCATGTATAACTGATTAGAATAAATAAATAAATAAAATTTAAAAAACAATAGGGTTTAATAAGGATGGAGGTGAATAATGTACTGACAAAAGAATTTGGAGAGTTATCTATAAATTCTTTGACTTTTTGCACCCTGAATACCCAAAAGTTGACTTTTATTTGGTTGTCACAGGGGTGATGTTTGATAGAAAGTCATCAATAGACACCAGCAAAGAATCTGATACAGGTTGCTAACAAACCAGGAAGTATGACATGCTCCTGGCCAAAGTGAAAAGTTTCCTGGCATTGAGGATCCATGAAAGTCACCAGATGACACCAGCTGGTTGATATGCATCTTGTCACATCCTTTGAGAAATAGCATCTTTCTATTCTTGGGAATTTTTAAAAGCTTCCAGCCCTCTGATTTTTGTGGACATTTTGACTTGTCTAGTCTACTGGCAAAAATAAGTAATATAGTATCCACTACCTCCTGACCATTTCTGAATGCATATTGCTAGATGGGGTCAAGTGAAGTTTAAATTCTCAGGTGTACTGTTCTTTGGCAGGACCAAGCCTTTGAGATCCATTTCTGCAAATATATCACTGTTACTATAAAATAAATAATAAATAAATTAGGTTGGCAAAACATAGACAAACTAAATATTTTCTGATTGTTTATAATATTTTGGTTTTTTTGTTAGACACTCCTGTACAATCTCATTTAATATTAAAAAAATTTAATTTTGGCATTATTTTTATAGAAACAATGTGTGTATATTTTACAAACATCAAAAAGATAGTTTGGTGAGTAATTAGAAATTTATTTTTCTAAAATTATCATTTTTCTTTAAAAGGGATATGCTCTTTAGTATGTGTATTTCCTAATTGAAAGGCTTATGTTAAAATAATAGTTCTCTGGTCTATCTCTTCTCACTCCCAATTCTCTTTCATTAGGCCCCAAATTTTTGATCTTTTTAGTTCTTTCCTTTCACATTTACTTCCTTATTTCTAAGCTACATTCTTATACAGATATTTCTTGATTTTTCAGCGTTCGAGATTGATTTCCTTCCATGGAAGACAAAGATTTAGCTCTCCTATATAACCTCCTGTCACATGCACTTCATTCTTCCTATTTTTCCTGTACATTTATAACATTATTTTGACTATGTAAGTATTATTTATAGCTAAGATACATAGCATTACTAGGATTCCATATCTTCTCATATATAATTCTTTGTTTTCACCAGTTAAAAACATTTCTTTTGTTTGCTTGGTTTTCTGTGCTTTTATTAGGAATTAATTGCTCAGTTCTCTATGTAAATAAAAATTGCCTCTGAGCATATTTTTCTCCCCATTTCACATTTTATTTTCATATTCACAAAAGTATTTAGTCCTCCTCCTTCTACTCCAAGTTGTTCTAGAAGTCTGACATGAAGTTGTCACTTGGCATCTTTTCCTTCACAATCATCTTGATATTTTTCCCCATTCCTTTCTCCTGTGCTGTATTCACCCTATTCTTGGATTCTACATCTTTCTCTTGGTTTGCTCTTTCTTTGTGATAGAGCATATCCTCTAGGAGTTTCCTGAGAAAGGTAAATAATAGAAGCCCTCACTTATCCTACAGCCTACCTTCATTTTCCATCAATAGTTTCCTTGAGTTTAGATTTGTATGTATGATTTTTTTCTCAGAACTCTGAAGGCATTTTTCGATCATCATCAAGTTTTGGTGGTGCTTCAAGTTTGGTGGTGCTACTCAAGACCTCATTCCTTTGTCTGGGGTCTCTTTCTTCCCTCTGGAAGTTTTTAGGCCTATTCCTTTATCCTGGTGGTGTTCATGATACATCTTGGTCAGATAAATCCTCTAAGAGGATTTGCATTTGCTTTTACCAAATGCTTATGGGTATTACCATTCTGGGATTAATCTGCATTAAATTCTTGGCTAGAGGTTTATCAGACTATTTACAAAGTCTGAATCTGGGCCATGAACCTGTGTGAAGGCTGATATATGGTTCCAAATTCTCAGTAGTGATTTCCCTTGACTCCACTCTTGCCAAAATTTGAAATGGTCAGTTTTCTCTGGGGTCCATTAAAAGGAATATGAGGTACCTTTCTGACATGGAAGGTACAACCCATAGTTCTGGTAGGAAATAAGAATATCATATTCAAGTTCCCAACTTTAAGTGAATTCGGGCTTTGTTCATTCCTCAAAATGCTGAATATCAAAGTTTGTACTTAGCTGGTTTGACAAATGCTTTTAGGATAACATTGTACCACTTACTTTTCTAGGTTTCTATCTTCACTCAATGCCTGGCCTGAGATTTCCTTGGTTTATAGTAGGATGATTGTAAGATGATTTAAAAAATTGTATTTTGTCCATAAATTTTAGTTATTTCCAGCAGTCCAGATACTACTGTTCCTGTCTTCTTCTTAGAAATGAAAGGCTAGGTTACCTTTCTAAGCCTCAATTTCCTTATCTGAAATAGGTATTGTGAGAAATGAAATTGTTAGTGTAAATATTCTAACTCTGTGTCTGATACCTCAATGAATATTTATTCTATTTTTTTGAGTGGCATTCTCAGAGTCTAAACATAAGTTGTTTTATTTTGCTGTGTTTTTATAGATATATGGTACACTAATACCAGGTGAAGAGAAAGCAAATAATCTAAGGTTTTGAAAGACTGTGTGTTTGGTATATTAAAAAATTTGTGTGTTCATTCCATTCCAAAAATTTCTATTTCAAATGAGAACCAAGTAATTAAATATCATTAGTAAACTAGGTCTTATGAGGGCCTGACATTTATTGAAGGGAAAACCATGATTTATTTGTACATTTCTTGAAACAAAGGAATTTGAAAACATTCCCTGTAATCAAGACTCTAAAGAGACATAAAATGGATGCTTTTTCTTTTGCAACACTGGGAATTGAACCCAGAGTCTCACACATGCTAAGCAAATTCTCTATCACTGAGATATATTCTCCATCCTTTTTAAGAAAAATTTATTTTGAAACAGATTTTGCTAAGTTTCCCAGCTAGCCTTGAACTTGCAATCCTCCTGCCTCAGCCTCCTTAGTAGCTGGGATTACAAGTATGCACCACCATGCCCAGCTAGATGCTTTTTCTTATAACAAACTAGGCTATGCCCTAAATTTTACCATTTTGTATTATTACAAAGTATCAATTGCACTAACAAAGTCCTTTTAAAGTCCATAGATATGTTCATTCTAAAAGGTTGCCCTTCTCTTTAAAAACAATTTCCACCCAGTGCCAAGCAGCCTTTGGTGAAAATCAGCTCTCTCTTTGGTTATTGACCTGACCTTGGAGCCCTATCAAGGACACTTTTTTAGCAGGTGCATTGTGATATTCTTCACAGCCAGCATGGTCTCTGTACAGGTAGGTCTGATGAGCATCTCTGGGAGTAAAAATCCAAAATGCCCAGTGTCACGTAGTTCAAAGGCAAATGCATAGGGTATTCCATTTTTGTAAGCCCAATCCATTGAGCTACCAGAACTTACATCTGAAAGTTTAAAAAAAGAAAAGAAAAGATTATCCTCACTAAAGAATCTGCATAATTTTCAAAATTATATATATCTTGCTTAGTAAGATATACTAAATCCTTCCAATGAAATACCATTTCTACAAGAATGATTTAACAGTAGTTCTTTGGCATCCAGCTACATGGAGCTTATAAATTATACCTGTTATCAGCTTTGAAGATCTAACCTGAGTATTAATGCTATGCCAGTATGATGACCTCAAAATTTCTCAACCTCAATTCCAATAATGTTTATCTTCACCTTCACTTTATTCACCAATAAAACAACCTACGCTGTGGACTTTAAAAAATATTAAAATTAAAAAATATTTTTGTTCTTATCACTCAATTCTTTTCCACTTCCAAGGTCTTGAATATTAAAATTCTGTTCCTCTCTTTCATTTCTTCCACTTCCCTATTTTTCCAGGCTTGCTGAACTTGTCCTTTGTCTTTACTTAAGCTTATAGTTTCCAGATTCTCCCTGCCTTTCTTGTGGTTTCCATTCAGGGTCAATTTACTAGCTTTCTCACCAGACCCCTCAAATGCCTCCTTCCTGTCTTTTTTCTGCCTTTGCTTTGCTGTTGTTGAACTTCTGGCCCAGTTTCTCCTGCTGTCACTCCAGGTAAGGGAGTGAAATGATTCATCTTTGATGAACAGGTATTTTATAAAATCATACAGCCTGATCACCAAAGTCGTCTTCTGCTCGCAGTGCTGCTCTGTGCTGTTTTTTCATAGTCCTGCACTTACCGGCACTCCCCATTCTCTTCTTGTCCCACCCATCACTTTAACACTGACCCCCATATTCTAGATGATGGCTCCATTGGCTCCTCTGTTGACCTCAGAGCCCTCTAAGCTTTCTCTCAGCTCAGAGAAAGTCATGCTAAATGTCTTTTACATGGGTCATCTCTTGATACCATTTATTATTGTTGTCTGTATAAAGGGAGGATCCCTTTGTTTCATTGACACATTTTCTTTCTCTTACATCGACATCAACCCAAATAAATGCTCAAGGACCCCTTTCTTCTCATGATCCTGCTATATACTCTTGGTTACCATCCTCTTTTTCTTCTTCTTCTTCTTCTTCTTCTTTTTTGTGCTTGATAACTTAAAAGAAAATCTATATATGTTGCTTCTAATCCTTATATCTTTCTCTCTGGTTCTTGCTTCTATCCACCTATAAAACTTCATTTATTTTTTAAACTTTTACTTATTTTTATGTGGTGATGAGGATCAAAACCAGAGCCTCACACATTTAAGGCAGGCGTTCTACCCCTGAGCCACAACCCCAGCTCCCAAACTTTACTCTTGAAGGGTGATCATGTCCACATGTTTATTCTCCTTTTTTGGTTTTTGTTTTCCCCTTAACATAGCTGACAATCCATCCAGGCATCCCTGTCCTTCTAGTTCCTATGACCTCACACATTCCACCTTTTTAGTACGGACTGGAAACACAGGCACTAAAGAGAAGACCACCAACCTGCACTGTGTCCAGTCCTACCACCTACCTTGTGATTACTCTGTGCCTCAGGTGCCTTTTAGAAAAAGGGAATGATGCTAATATCTGCTACTTAAGGTTGATGTGGTAATTAAATGAAATACTAAATCACTTGAAAGTGCTTATGAAATATTAGCTATTATTATTTTACATCTTTACATCCCAGTGCCTAATACATAGTGTTTAGTCTAATAGACTCTTCAATAATCATTTATTAAATTAAAAAATGTTTCATGGAAAAATATTCATATACTTTTTTCCTGAAATATATATGATTCAGTTTGCTATAACACTATTATTATTATCATCAAATTTCCAAAACATGTTCATTTACTCAAACAGCATTACATTTATGCTATTTTTCTCAGGACAAGTGAGGATGAAATCATTATGTGAAGATGACCACTAAGTGGATCGGCTATTTCTCAAATTCCTTGTGCTTCTATCAAGGACAGAAGATAAACTGTGGCTTTAGTGTCCTCTGGTTAGAGTACATTGGAACTACAAACAGTAGTCATATTAGCCAAAGTCAGAGACAATATGTGCCAACAGTTACATCATGGTGATGTGACAGCCTCATTTCTATGGCAACAGATTGTTCTTGGTAAATATAACACTATGACTGTGCCTTTATTCCAAGCTGAAAAGGTGAACTGTTAATAAGATTTTTTTTTTAAAAAATTAATGTTTTAATTTTGTTATTATATGTATTATGTTGATATTAGTTGGTAATGTGAATTTTAAAAAAATATTATTTTTCCCCTTTCAGGATAATGATTGGAAAACACTTATAAAATGATCTCAAAAAATCTATTAATGCTTGTGTCATTGTTAGGACAAGTTTATTTGATAAGCAATGCTAATTGACAAACCAAGCTGTTGTTCTGAAGGCTGCAGAAACCGAGGGGCAAGATGTTAAGGATGGGCAGATTAAAAGACATCAAGAAGAAATTTGCTGCCTTACTGAGGAGCATCACCAAATGCTACTATCTGTACATATCCCTACTGCATGTGTTTGCCATCATAGGCACACGAAGACATTCAGCTGTATGTAATTCTCATCTGTCATAGAGTCAATAAATTTTAGAATTTGAATGGCCATGAGAAATGATCTAGTCTCATTCTTCATGTTACTGTTGTAGAAGCTGAAGCCCAGCATTAATAAATATCTTGGCCAGGATGACACACCTGGAAGATTTAGGACTAGAATCCACATCTTACAGTTCTTTGTTCTGGTTCTTCCCATATACCCGGTTGCTTTTTGCTTCATAGAAGAGAGGAAATACTTTAAAATCACTTTTAAAAGGAGAATTCAGCTAAGATGCTATATAGGAAATAGTATTTCAGAACAAGAATAGTGAAGGAAATGAAAAAAGGGGAAACTGTTGTAAGCTGGAACTCTTACTTCATTATCTTCGTGAGGCCCATTTCCACCCTTACAGTAGTCATAATTGCTTAAGGAGCCCGTTTTGGTACTTTCTACTATCATAAGATCTCAATTCAACTTGCAGTCATTACTGCATGTTTAGCATATTCTCTGCTTAGGATTTGTTTAAATTGGTACAGCGATTTCTGTCAAGCTGTGTAAAACTAATCAGATATAAACTCTCTCCATTTTCCTTGGCTAATTTGATAGTCACAAATTTCACTCTAGGGAGAATATACTCTCGGCTTTTTAAAGAGAAGTCATGATATAGGATATTGGTTCAAGAGAGGTGATTTTAATACAAGTACACAGGAAACTTACACAATGTTCTGGAGGCAGGCCCATATCTGTATCGTACCCCATATACTGATCCAAGTGCTTTCACTGCTTTATAAGCTGCAGATTCCTAGGAGGGGAAATGAAGAAGTTATATCACTTACATTATTACACTGAAACTTCTAGAAACACTGGCATGTTGCTTAAGGCTTCTGGGCCACCAACACAAAGAATAACGATGGGTACATCAGTTATTATTAATATTTAATAATATTATATTGTTCATGTCACAAGATACATGTCACAAGATACATTTGCAACATATTTTAGAACACATCATTTCATCTGATTGATTTCACAACCAACTAGAGATCGATAGTATTTCTATTTTACAGATGAGAAAAGGAAGGCTCAGTGAAATTACACATGTATCCTGAAGTTACATAGCAAAAGTGGAGCTGGGATAAGTACCCATATTTTCTGAGCTGATGTAGTGTCCTGTCCTTTTCACTTTTGCTCAGGGACATCTCTTCCTATAAATTACAAAATGTTTGACAGAGGAAGGATAATGTCAGTCTTAATCATAGATCATATCCGATCCTTCACAATGTGCTTGTGTATAACAGATGCTTAATCAATATTTCTCATATGAATGTTGAATAAGCATAAGTCTGCAAGAGTATTTAGACAACTATATTGATTCTTAAGCATATATTTCAGTGGATATGTACAAGGTATTTAAAGCACATCTGGATCAATTAGGAAACCATCAAGCAAGAAAGACCTCTCTTACGCGATGTGTTTATCCTTACTGGGATGAGAACATCAATTTCAGAGTGCTTCATGACTTCTAAGGTTACTCAGACTCTCACAGGCTTAGTCAGGCACTGCTATGATGCAGAAATTCTAAGGTGGAACTCTTTCTAGTCGGGAAAAATACTCGACCCAATCAAAATCCTAAAAGGCGGATATTCAAACACAAGTGAGACTGATATTGAATGTCCTTGAAAACATTTTCAAATGATATAAAAGCACTAATTTGAACCAGGAGTTAGGAAAGTATTGTATGACAAGTGAGAGGAAAAGAAGCATGTTGAAACCAGTACAAAACTCTCCTGTTTCAATTTGCCTATGAATAATTTAATATTTTAATTGAAGAACTCTGGATAACATGGTGGTGTGTGTTGGACTGAGCTTCAGGCTGCTGTCCTCATTCAGCTCAGGGATGAATAAAGCAGTATTTGCAGCAAAGGCCACCCTTTGTGGATATTCAGGGACCAGGCTTCAGGAACTGGCAGACTATATATTATTGATCTCACTGATGATGACATTCTTCTCATAGGAGCCAACAGAAAAGGAATGTAAACACCATAATGAGGTATCTTTATGGAGAATGTTCTAAGATTTTAACATCTCCAGCGATCTTAGCAATATTCCATGGCAAGAGCAGATATTTTTACATTTAGAAATTACTGCATTTTGCTGGTCAGGAGACTTTTGTTCCTCATTATTTCAGATGACTAAACCCATGGAAAACATCTATTACAGAAAAAAAGAGAGAGAGAGAGAGAGAGAGAGAGAGAGAGACAGCCACTTTGCCTGTATACACAAAGCTTACATATGGTATTAAAATTTGACTCAATGTATTTCTGTCATTTGAGTACAGGTGCAAGTTGATTAGGGGTTTGGATATGCTCTATCTACAAAAACTGGAAATTTCATCAATTTTTTCCCCCAAGAATTATTTTTCAGGGAGGCACAGCTAGATACCTATTTGAAAGAATAAAGTGATTCCTTCTTTCTCTTCTCTCTGATTGTCCAAAAGGACCTCAGGCTTGCTTATTGGTCCTCAGCTAAGTAAGGAGTATATATATTTTTCAAATATTTCCATATTTAAAGCAACTTGATGAATGTGTTAAAAATATTATCAGAAACAAAGACTCAGACTGATAAAATGTTTTGAACAATTTTGATAAAATTTAATGGCTTCTGGTTAATATAGAGGTATTGCCTAGTTTGAGAATTTTTAATCTTAGTTTTAGTGATTTAGATTATATTTAACTGCCTTAAGGATTTCTCAACAATAGCACTATTGACTTTTGGGCTGAATAAATCTTTGATGTGGGGGGCTGTAGGATGTTTGGCAGGCAGTATCTTGGCCTCAACCCACCAGATGCCAAATTGCATCTTCCATTGCTGTTACAATGAAAAATATCTCCAGACATTACTGAACGTCCATTGGGAGGCAGATGCATTCTTTGTTGAAAACCATTGATCTACTCTATGCCACATCCACCAATTCAAGACAAAACTAAAATAGGCTAAACTCATGATGGGAAGTTACATTTAAAATATTGATAATATTTCTCATCTTATAATTTTTATATTTTGCATAGTCCATATCATCTGTTATAAGAATATAGACACTGTGCCCAAAAAGGGCTAAACATAATATACAAATGGTTGGTTGGGAGCCAGGTCAGTATAAACAAAGGTGTAGCAGCAGCAATAACAAAAAGAAAGACTATTTGACCCACAGAGCAGCTGAAGAATAGTACTGTAGAGTATAATTATTATCCTTACAATATTTCTAAACAGAAGTAATTTGCTCAGAATTCTTGGAATGCCAAGAACAAAGTCGCCTTTCGATGAAATAAAAGGTTTCCCTTGCTCTCTCAGGTCCCCTACTTCTTCTAGGGCTTGGATATCTAAATTAGGAATTTCTGAAACTCCAAGCAGTTTGTATAGTATTTGAAGTTTAAGGATTAAGGAAAAAGGAAATGCTTATCTTTCAAAAAATTCTCATTCAAGTATATATATGAAAGTAACACAATAAAAATTATTTGGTCTTTATCCCTGGTTTCCTGACATAACAGCTCCTAAAACCCTTGGTGTCCAGAATGATAAGAGTGTCCTTTACATACTAGTGTGATGATTGGTGGCTGAGCCCCCCAGAAAATTTCAGGTTAGGGGCTAGTACCAGAAAGCCAAACCATGCAACCAGAGGGTTGGCAATTTCAACTATATTTACTAACCTCTGAAGAAGGGAGAATGTCCAGAGACTGAGTTCAATCTCCAATGTACCTATGTAATGAAGTCCCATAAAGTTCCCTATAAAATGAGAGAACTTCAAGGTTGGTGAGAACAATTGGAGAGCTAAGGTGGTGCCCCTGAGGAGCTAAGGAATCTCTGTGGCTCCCTGCCTCTATCCTACACCTTGTCTTATGCAGCTCTTCCATATGTCCTTCCTGAACTGTGCATGTTACAATAAACTGACAATAGTAAAGCACTTTCTTGAGCTCTGTGAGTCCTTCTAGTGAATTATCAAAACTAAGGAGTGGGTGGTGGGAACCTGGAGCTCTTTAGCCAAGTTGGACAGAAGAGTGAATAAGTTGAATACCTACTGCTTGTAGCTGATGTTTGAAGTGGGAACAGTCTTATGGGACTGAGTCCTTAACCTGTGGAGTTTGATGCTAACCCTGGGAGGTATGTGTCAGAACTGAATCAAACTGGACACCCAGTTGGAGAAGTGATGTTGGAAAAGACACCACACATTTGGTGTCAGGAGTTAAAACCCCTCAAACATACATAGTGAAGAGCACACAGATAATTTCATAGCACAACAAGTGATCCCAAATTGAATACATTCCTGTAACCACCATCTCAGGTCAAAGAATAGACTATAAGCATTTAACCAGGCAACCCCCATGTCTCCTCTCAATCACTGAACCCCTCCCCCTTCCCCAAAGGTCATTGCTATCCTGAATTCTAACATTATTTTTATTAGTTTTTCTTGGTTTTGAACATTATAGAACTTTAGATGCTACAGGGTCTAAAATGAACTCATTTTACAATGTATTATGCCCTGTAGGGGATCGTCTGTTGGGTTTCTGAGATAAGGGGTAAGAGAATGGTGCTTTTTCATTTTCAAGTAATCTTATGCCTGAAAGTCTGTTCATTCTTAGTACTAACTTGTCAGATGCATGCCCAGAGACTTAGTAGCATTAAGCAAATAGCACTTATAAATTAAAACTTGCTTTTAATTAATGAGAGTCAGACTATAATTTATGAACAATTATTGACTCAATAAAGTTAATTACAGCCCTGCATATGTGACCAAAGCTGTAATACTAATCAAATCCATCCTGACCTTTTCAGTATAGCCTGTGGTAAGAATGTAAATAGGATTGAAATGACTGCATTTGAGAAGCAGTATGGTGGTTAAAAACAACAACTCTGAAGCTAGTCTTGAGCTGAATGCTGACTATGATGTTTAGTAACTATGTATGCTTAGTGTAATTATTTAACCTCTCTGGGATTCAGTTTTCTTATCTGTAAAAATTGGGATAAGAAACCTTATGAAGAATAAATGAGTTAATATATGTCAACAAATAGTTTAGAATAAACACAATGTGTGTTTGCTATTACCACTAGCACTTAGCATCAGAAAGGAAGCATGAAGTCTGAAACACGTATAAAGGGTCAAATACTTACCACACAGTTAAAATTGGGGATTGTTGCGTATTTGTAAGAATAGGGATACAACAACATCTGAGCATATGCATGAAAGGAGAGGTAAGCCTGAATGTGCTTTCTGTGTTTTCGGAGGAAGTTAGCTACAGCCTTCACTTCTGGCTCAGATTCTGGGAAAGGGCCACAGTAGGTATCGTCACAAGGGTGCACAGAGGCCCCTTCATCTGCAAGTCAGAAAAGAAAATGGAATTGGGGGAGCAGGCAGGGAAGAAGAAACACAAATCAGCATTGTTAAACTGTGATTTTTTAAATTTATTTTTATAAACATATGGTGTTATTAAGCAATTTATCTAATTTCTTATTTATAGAAATCAATGCTAAAAATTCTGAGGTGATTCAAGCCTCCATGAACAAAGGAGGGTCTGAGTGGGAACCAAGTGATGATTGCTAACTAAACCTGCAATAACTACTTTTAAAGAGATGGCTGTCTCTGTTTTCAGGAGGACTAATTCTATATAACCCCCAGAGAAGGCCTACTATTAAGATGTGCTTCACAACACCTGTACCTTTTTTTTTTCGTAATATTCAACACACATGTAATTAGTGTTCATCATTTACTCATTTACCATTCAATTGATGTTTATTCTATTATAGATACCTGGGATACATTATAAGCAACACAGAAAAAAAAATCCCTGCTTTCATTGAACCTGTATTCTATCTAAATTCTTGCTGGATGCTAATGCTTTATGAAGGCAGGCACTGTGTCTTTCTTGCTGGCACCTAGTAGCAAGAACAATAACATGAAAAGTGTTCTACAAACACTTGTTGAGTAAGTCAATGTCAGATCAAGAGGATAGACATCTATAAAAGTGTCCAAACAAATAGCAAGAACATGAAGGCCAGCCAGAAATAATTCTGAAGAACATAGGTCTAATTTCTACCATATTTTTAGATCAGTAGTCTCCAAATTGGTTTATAAAACCCAAGAGGCTTCTCTAGTTATCTCGTAGTTTAGAAATATTTAAAATTACATTTTAATGATATTTAAATTAGAAAAAGCCTTCCAAACAGGGGAAAACTTACTAACAGTTTTATGGAGGGGACAGAGGAAAATAAGAACCACTTTAGTAACCACCAAGCATTATGGTTATAAGAAATTTTAGAAATGACATTTTCTGTAGTTATTTGCCATTCTGGGCCATTACTACCTCTAGAAAATAATAACTCTCTCCATAAACTAACAGAAAATTCTTGATGGTTCTGTAAGATGGTCCAGTTCTACTGAATGTGAGAAGAAAAGCAAGACAAATTGGCTGGATCTTGAAGACACGAAGAGTGATTCAATTGGAGAAAACTGTGGAGAGAACTGGGCAGCCCATCTGACTCCTCTGAAGTCTATAATTGAAGCTGTGAGAGGACAGCTGATCAGAGTTCATCAGTGAGGTGAGTGACAGAGGAAATGTGCCCAGACACAATACTGGACAGTCAGAGACTTGGAGGGACTTGGAAATTCTGGAAACTGGGACAGAAAATAGGAAAGAATTTGTTAACCTCAAATTCTGACCAGAGTGGGCTGAAGGGAGGGGTAACAGAGAAAAAGAGAGAGAGGCAAAGTTGGCAAGCTAACTTCAGAAACAGGAGAAAAGAAAGCCAGATCAAATTAAGCCAGAGCAGGAGCTGAAAAGCCATTTTGTGAGTGAGATGTGCACAGCTTATCTCAAATTGCTGGTGGAAAACGGTGCTGGGCAGCCATTCTGTAGAGACCACACCTAAGACTGCCCTCTTAGAAGGAATTAAATCTATACAGCTTCATCCCATTTACAGATGGCAGCGAAAATATTATCATAGGCAGTACCTTTGAAATGGTTGTCTCAGTAATCTGTAGAGGGATCGCTGCTAGCTGAATGTTGCCAAGCCCCATTCTCCCACTCCAGACAAGAGGAGGAGGGTGGAGCAGAACAGAGTCACTCTAAAGGTATGTAGCACCATGGGAGCAGCAAGTGCCCCAGCTGCTGGCCAGAGATCCATAAGGTGCAGCAAATCTACCTGGATCACAATGGTGCCAGGTACCCCACAGATGCTGGCCTCTGCCAAGTATGCCCAGTCATGGGCCTGATAACAGTGTGTCCTGTCAGCTGAAAAAGCCATGAAACCCCCAGTATCCAGCAGAAACCTCCTATGGCCTTAGCAGTGCAACATGCCCCCCACCACCACAGGTGGCCTGCAGACTTGAGCTCCCCAGTCAATGATAAGCATGCCCAGATGCTGCCCACTGACATGTATGAACCAGTTTGGGGCAGCTGCCTTGCCTCCAACAGAGCACCCAGTACTACTATTGCTGGACTGCCATACCTCTACCATAAGGCACCAAACTCCACAGTACCCTGAAATCTACACATGTGAGTTCATACCTGTTTTGACAAACCTGGGTACATGAAATATTTCTATGGACTATATTCCCAACCAGGGAGAGACCTGACTTTTAAGCCACAGGAAATTAGGGGTTGTGTCCTTTGACCCTCCAGAAAGTTATCAGATGCTTACACACACCAAAAAATAAAGGGAGACTCTTAGATTTAAATTAGAAGTGGGCTGGTAAGTTTGCTACCACATGCCCAGAGAAATACAGAGGTAAAGCTGAGGAGTATGAGTATTAACTAAGTCTCTCAAAACTGGATGGAGTCCAAATCAGGGAAGACTAATAAGTCTCTTGATCCCAAATAGCTCAACATGGAATAACGCTTTAATATCAGTTATTGATTTGACAGATATTATCTTGTGTATTGATTCGATGGGTCACCTTTATTATTTGAAAGTATACTCCTTAATCCAATTTTATGTATTTCTTTTAATGTTTCAAAGCATTATTTAGAATTATTCTTTCTCACTTTTCCTTCTTGTTCACAAGTATACTCTCAACTTTTGTTTCTCTTTTTTCCCTTATATCACCTCCATTTCTATCCTCCCATTTATTTTTTTTATTTTCTGCTTTTTTCTTTTTCCTGTTAATGCTCTATATAATTTAATAGTAATTTTACTTTCTGTAATGCTTAATTTCTCAGGATATTCTAAATCATAATTCTCATTTTGCATGTGGAGAAGTTTTAAAAGGGTTACTAGTATGGTTCTTGGTTCTTAAGTGGCCCCAGTTGCTGGTGATTACTACCTCTCAAAATGGAGCAAGAGACTAAATAGAGCAGTGAGATCACATTGAGTGAAAGTGTTGACACTTAGATACTTGCCCAGCTTGGGGCATACAGTAGGACAAAAACAGGTTACTAAAATGTCTCTCATATAACAATAGAAGAAATAATCATCCCAGCAGATATGCAAATATCAACATAGAAATATAGGTAATATAAAACTACAAAGTAATAAGATACCCCCAAAAGTTTATAACACTTCAATAATTGATTCCATAGACATCAAAGTGGAGGAAATGTTGGGTAAACAATTTAAAAAGATGAGTGGTAAAGTGTCTATGGACAGAGACCACTGAAACTGTGAGTCCCCGAAAAAATTGTTCCTCTTCTGCAATTGTTCTGGTCAGGTCCTTAGGTCATAGTAGTGAAAAACCTGACGAAAACAGAAATTGGTACAAAGAAGTGGGGTTGTTGCTGTGACTAATCTACCCATATAGTTCATATAAGCACTTTGAGCTTTTTGAAATTGATGGGAGGAATTTTGAGATGCTTAGCAGCTGAAAATGCTTTAGATTGTTGTAGTGCTTAATGGCTGATTCTGATGGGAGCTCAGAAGACCAGAATGCCAATAGGACTATGGACAGTGAAGACAGAGGGTTCAGAGGAAAAGGTGGACAATATTGGTAACTGGACTAAAGGCCTTTATGTTATGTTCTGACTGAGAAGTTGTCTACATTTTGCCCATGTCCTGAGACTTTCTGTGAAGCTAATTTTAAAAGTGATGGACTTTTGATGGAAGAAAAAGTTTAGGCAGCATAGCATTCAGGTGGTGGCATGGATATTGCTGGAAGCTTTTAGTCAAATTTATTGTGATAATAAGGAGCAGAAAGCAGAGCAGAAAGATTTGAAAAGCTCGGACTTGAAAGGTGGGAGTAAAACTGGGGCTGAGAAAGTTGCAGTTATTAAAGACTTTACTGTCACTAAAGAAATGTTAAAGGCTTTGCCCAGACACAATGAGAAAGATGGCTTCAGGGCATCTCAGGAGCTGGCAAGACCATACCCATTTCAGACTAAAGGAAGTAAAGGTAAAAAATTCTCCTGATAAAGAGACCAGTGGGACACTCTTCTTGCACAAGAGGACCTAAAAAGTTTTTTTTTTCCAACTTGCTCAGCCATCCAGGCAGTTGGAGGCTGATGCAGCCAGGGTCCCTGGAGGCTTGGCTACTGCTCAAGATAGTGGCAGACATTGGTGTCAACCTCTTCCGGAATGCTGGAAATAGGGGGTTGAGGAGACTTTCACCAAGATTTCAAAGGAAGGCCTGGGAGGCCCAGAAAAGTTCAGCAGGGTTGGAGTCCCTGTGGGAAGCCCTGGAGAGGGCAATGTGCGGAGATGTAAGGAGGAAGCTGAAGCTGCATTGGAGACCTCCAAGATTAAGAACTATCAGTAATGTGGGACATCATCCTAGGAAAGCTATAGGAACTGAGCAGAGACAAGCCAACAGAAAGGCCACTTAGGCTGCAACCAATAAGGCCACAGGGGTAGGGCTACACAAGTCCTTTGGAGAGAACATCATGATGCCATATACTCCATGTGCAGGACACAGAACTACAGGACTTGTTTTCCTAGCTGGATTTCAGTCTTGCTTTGGTCCCAACTCTTCTTTCTATGACTCTATTTTTCTGAATAGAAATATTTACTCTGTAACTTTATATATTGGATACTTGTGAATTGCTTTTAAATTTTATAGAAGCTCAAAATGTGAGATTGCCTTGAGCCTCAAAAAGATTTTAGACTTGAAAGGTGAGCAATCTCAGAACTGTTGAGACTATAGGGACTCTTGGGAATGGACTAGATGTATTGCATTGTTAGATGAGTGTGAGCTTTTGGAGGCCAGAGGTGGAATGTTATAGCTTGGATGTGAGGTGTCTTCCAACAGTTCACAAGTGAGATAATGCAAGAAGGTTCAGAGAAGAAATGACTGGGTTGAAAGAGCTTTAACTCAATCAGTAAATTAATCACCTGATGGGATTAATTGAGTGGTAACTGAAAGCAGGTGGGGTGTGGCTGGAGGAGGTGA